AAAAGTTTTAGTTAATTTTTTATACTCACTTGCATATAGCAAAGAAATTCTTGGCCTGTACTTAAGAGACAAATTGCTTGATTCTGACTGACTACTTTATCAATAGTGAACACCAGAGAAACAAACAAGCAGAACTTATCTTTCTCTTCTATTTTGAAATGAGATTATGCTAAATAATACAAGTGACAGATTTGGAAATGATAGCGGCAGCATCAACACACCATCATGGAAAGCCACTTCCACCAAAACCAGTTGGAAAAGCTGCCATTGAACATTTTTTTTCTTTGGCTTTTGAATTTCACAAATTCACATTGGTACAACAAGCTCTTCATCTGATTTTTATATAAGATTTTTTGTCATGGGAATTGACTAACAAAACCAGAATGATTGAGAAGAAACAAACAAATCCTAAGTAGAAAGAGAACTTAACAAAATTGGTTCAAACAACTTTAATATAATCAGCTAACAAGTTTAAAGTCAGTTCAGCAAAACTTTAAATAATTGTTTTCTGTTAATTCTAATAGAAATTCAGAAAAGTTTGGAGGGGAAGAATTGGTTGTTTCAGGAAAGAAGCACTTACTTTGAGAGAGAAAAAAAACATACACAATGACAGAAAGGAGCTAGAGGAGGAGGTTATGGAGATAGATTAACAATGAATAAGTCAATTTGATGAAAAGATAATTACTTAATTTTTTTAAATATTTTTCATGTTGATTTATGTTGGTTTTTTTGGGGGAGGGGGGTTAGAACTTATATGATTTTTTCCTTATTTTGTAAAAGTAAGTCTCAGATGAAAACATTTAGTTTTAGTTGAACTAATAAAATTAGTCTTAACATTTTTAGTAATTTTTTTTTTTTTTTTACTCCATAAAAAATATTAAATATTTTAAAAAATGTGTTTCCAAAACCATTTAAAATAAAAGAGAAAATCTGTCAGAAAAGAGACAGAACATTTCAAAATAGGAAAAGAACTTAAATATTTAAAAAAACAAAAGCAAAACCTCCCCAAAATGACATTCTTATAATCTAAAAGTGGTTGATGATAATACTTTTCAAATTGAAAGTAAGCTGTTAATTACAATTCAAAAACAATTCCAATGTCTTTTATGCTGTTGGATACCATTTCCATAGATTCTTACATTTATTAAGAAATAAAAATAACCAAAAGAAAATAGAACTAAAGAAACTATGGACTCAAAAAGTTTGACAAGTTTATTAACCATTAACTTAAATCCATTAAATGATGGTTTGTAGACAATTCACTGGTGTAGTGAGTTTGATCCTCACTAAGTGCCTTCTATAGTGGCAATGTGCCTGACTATGTTATGCTTAATACACTTTATATATATATATATAAATATATATATAACAAGAGAGAACAAATTGCATAGGATTGAACAAATAAAAAATACTTTCAGCAGAAATTGAACTTCCAATACATCTCACCCTGACTTGTACATGAAAAACCATGACAGAAAAATAAGCTTTGTATCAAGAAAGAAATCATTGGTTTCCATATGTCAGACCAAAATCTTATTCTCTAACCAAGAAGCATTTCTCACTGACTTTATTCAAAATCCAATAGAAATGCACCAATAATAATTTTACACAAGAAATTCTGAAGATTTTCAATTTCAAAATTAACTGAACAATAATGCAAACTGATTTAATATCACAAAATAAAAAATATTAAGTGAATTGATTGAAGGAAATATAAAAAAAAGAAAAATAAAGTCATCAATTTTAGAGCAAAATTAAAAAACAAAAAAATAAAAGCACCTTTACTGTATGACCTTAGGTCATACAGAAAAGGTTTTTTTTTTGTTTTTTAAATCCATATTTAAATAATATTAACTAAAAAAGATTTTGCTCATGGATTAAAAATTGAAATTTCCAACTTAATTTTTATTGAAATAGGTAAACCTCTTCTCTTTGAAGAGGTTTATTTGTTTTCTTAAAATAAAAAATAAAAAAAATTCCTATCCATTATTGATTCAAGAATTAAGATATTTTGGTTTTGATAAAAAAAAAATCTGGATGAAGGAATTATTTTGAAATATTATTTTTCAGGGATGAATTTACAAATAATCTTGCTCAGAATCATCAAAGATGAAATTACCAAAAAAAAAAAAAAAAAAAGTACTGAAGACAAAAAATTTCCCAAACATTAATCAGAAACTTTCTTAAATTAATTGAGATGCTTTCAAGGCAAATAAGTTTTGTTTGTCTTTTCAATTCAAAATGGCAAAATGGCACCAGGATTTTTAATTTCCAAATTTCACTGATTTCCCCTTTAATTTTCATAGAACAAAAAGGAAAAAAAAAGGTTCTTTACATTGTAAATAAAGAGGAATACGTAAAATGTAAGTTTTTCTTAATAATAAAAGAAAAAAAACATCACACACAGTACAAAAAGTGTGTGGGGGAGGCATTTTTTGTTTTAGATACAATCAATATTTGTTATTATCTGTAGCCTTTTTCCCTCTACAAAAAAATTGCCATACAGACTCTTATTTTTTCTTCTTTTTTTTAATTAAAAAAATAGTTTTTACAATAAACCTTAGTATTTTTATAATTACTGACTGTGAAATGTTCTTAAAATTCAAACATTTAAAAAAAAAAAAAAAAAGTAACTTTTCAGTTTATACTTTGGTGAAAAGTCAATATTTTGCATATAATTTACCAAATCATCTGTGTATGTTATTCATACATAAACATGGATGCATATGCTCAAATGATAAACTTCAATGAAGTTGAAGTGCCCAGCCAATTCTTAATTTATAGAACAAATTTTCTTTAAAGAAAACTTTGGTTCTTTAAAGGAGAAAAAAATTAACATTTTCAGATATTTTTCATTAAAGTATTTAGAATATAAAAAAAAATACTAAAAAACTAAAAATGCCAAAATCACTAATTTCTTACAACAGAAATGGTTGGAGAAAAATATCAAGTTGTTTTTTTTTTTGTTTTTTATCAAATCAATAAAACTTGTCTTTACGGTTTACTTTTTGGATTTGTAAGAAAATCTTTGTATCTTTTTCGTATTTGTTTTGAATTTCATGTGTTAACCAATAATATCTGAAGTTTTGAGATGAAGTATTTTCAAAATATTTTTTAGTTTATTCTTTTTGTTTCTTTAACATATTCCAGTCTACATTAATTGTATGCTGCATACAGTAATTTCTAGAAGTTATTTATTAAGTTATATTTTTATCTCTTCAATAAAAATTGGTTTGAAAAAGCCATATTTATGTAAGAATAGGTGAGATTGGAAGAACTTCATTTGTTCTGTTGAAGCAATTGTTCTTTTTGCAAAGCAAGACTGAACAGCCCCAAGAAATTTATGAAGGCATTAAGATGTATAACACACACTTGAGGAAGGTCGAAGAATATAGTAACCAAAACATGAAAACCATAAAAGAAGACAATTGTGCTTGATTTTACTCAAGATGTCAGGACAAAATTTATTTGTTATTTTGTTTATAAAATTAATGAGACATTGGCAAATTAAAGAAATTCTTATTCCCAATGTCAAAATGGTGTCTTGTATTCTGCAAATATAAACATACAGAATAGCCAAAAGTAGGTATACATTTTTTCAAAATTTCTAGATGAATTTATTAATTCTTCAATAAATAATTATATTTCTCAACAAGACACTAAAGTCCAAGAAGCATCCAAGGTTTCCCAAGACCAAAAACAAATAGATGTCTTCTTGGATTGAGTAGCTTGTAAAGAATATTTTCTTGCAAACCTTCCAAAAGCCAGAAAGTTAGGCTTCATCAATGTTGAAGATTAACTTTCAAAATAAACATGGAAGGATGAGAAACAATTAAAAAATTTGATTAAATTAAATGTTGTTTGATGATTTAATTAACTTATGTAGAAAATAATTGCAATTTTCTCATTCCTTAATAAAATACATTTAAAAAAGTATAAAACTTCTTTTGGATAAACTCAGTTGTATGGATATGAGTTTGTGACCCTGGGTTTCACACTTTTGCAATCATCAGACAAACTAAGAAGTGTCAAGAACACCCCTACCCACTGCTTGTTGAAAGGAACATTGACACACGTAAAAAGCCATGGTCCTGACACCAAAATAGAATTAAAATTAAAATTGTGTATGTATGTATGTATGCCTGAGCATATCTGCACCTGGCCTCAGGTTGTTTATATGGGTGCGTTTGTGTGAACTAAAATGCATACACCTGTATATGTTTGAGAGTGTCATCCTGAACAGGTATGGAGGGAAATTCCCCTTCCCACCACCAAACATAGTCAAACAAGCATAAATAGATCCAATTTTAAAAAATAAACCAGTTTCTCTGATGATTGTAAAAGAGTGAAACCCAGGGTCACAAACTCATATCCATACAACTGAATATGTTAGCTCTATCACTGATGTTGAATGCTTTCCACTAACATATATATATATATATATATATATATATATATATATATATATATATATATATATATATATATAGTATGTAAAAGCACACCCTCTACAAACTGAACACAAAATATAGACACATGTAAAAAAAAAAAAAAAAAAAAAAAAGGAAGATTAAATAAAGAAAAAAAAAGAAAGAAAGCAGCAGAAAAGTTATTAAGGCTTAAATCCTTGCAAATAATTTTTTTACAAACCAATTGTATATCCAGGGTTTTTTATAAGAAAAAGGAAAAACCCAAACATTCATCTGAAGAACTCTGGCAAAACAGAAAGAGCAGTTTGGTAGAAGTGGCAGATAGGGACAGTGAAAAAAACATGAGAAAAAGGAACTTGAATAAAATAATAATGAGCAAGTAGGCACACTGACAACATAAAATGCCAAAACTACATAAAAATAAATAAAGGCAAATAAAAGCAAAAAAAAGTGATGGTTTTTTTTTTTTTTTTTTTTTTGTTTTGTTTTGGGTTTTTTTAGGAAGCTTGGAGGGTCAAAAAAGTGAGACTGTAGAAAGGAGGGAAGAGTCAGGCAGCATTGGAGACATACCGTTCAATTATTGTCTTCATTTGGTCGTCTTTTTCTGCCTGTTGTTTTCGCATCCGTTCTTCACTCTCTTCCAGACGTTGTTGCCAATCTTGCATCATCTGCTGGGCACCGGTCTCTGGGTTGAAGCGTGATCGACAGTTAGCCTCCTGCAGTTGAGACCGAACCTCCATCAGTTCCTGTTTCAGACTCAAAACTTCCTTCTCGTACTAAAACAAAAGCAAGACAAGAAATCAACAGGAGGCAACAAAGAGAGAAAGCAAAGAAGCAAAGCCAACATTTCACAAGAAGCAAAGAACAAAGACATTTCAGCCAAGAAGGAAACAAGTAAAGCAACTGACAATGAATGACAAGAAAACAAACAAAAAAAAAAAGAAGCAAAATGAGCAAAGTAAAAGATTTAAGCAAAATAAGCAAAAAAATAACAATGACAGACACGATTTCAGCTTTGCCCCCACCAACTAAGTCCATCCAAAATTAGATCATTTATTACTGCTTCTTTAAAGTTTAGTTTCTTGACAGATTTTCTTATTACTATAGTAAATATCCCACACCTCATTATTTTTTTGAGTGGGGGGATAAAAAGCAAATCACTCAGTTCTACTTTTAAATAACATGTTTGGTGCAAAAGGATTTCATTATTATTACAAAAATTATTGTAGATACTCATGTTTAAGCCAAGTTTTTAAGATGCAATTTTATGTCAAAATGGTGGGCCAATATATAATTGGATAATGGCTTCATTAGGTCAACAGCCATGCATGAAAGGAAAGGGAATAGAAAAACTGTATACTTTCACTAATTACCAAAAAGAATATTGTATAAAAACAATAGTCTATCAAAATTAACTTTAATGGAAATATTCAAAATTTTAATTTAATGAATTGTAAACATTTTGCTTTTCTAGATTTTAGGTTCATTGTAAAAAACTTTACAAGAAGTTGATTTATATAGAATAAAATATAAGAGCTATATTTTTCTTTTTTTTAAGAGCTATATTATTATATAGAATAAAATAAGAGCTATATTTTTCAAGAGAATTCAACATTAAAACCAATGTTGAATTCTCTTGAAAAATATAGCTCACTTTGTACATGAGGGACCTAATGATTTCTTGGCCAAAAATCAAGGTCTTATATATAATCAAGGCCTCTATAATATATAGAAATATAAAAATTATAATAATATAAATATACTATTTAGAATTTGCTATACTTATACCAGAAGTGTGCTCAATATCAGAGCAAACATTTATAGTTATAACCTGAACAAAGGAATCAAAACTTCATGGGGATGGGCAGTTTCACACCTCAATGCAATCTTCTGACATAGCTTTGAAATTGGCAACTGCCATGCAGTGTCCATTTCTATGTCCACAATTAATATCTCTCACTCACTGTGTGTGTGTGTGTGTGTGCACCTCCAAAGATTAGCTAAAAAATGAGCATGCATGATAAAAATGTACCAAACTTTATGAAAATAAAGTTTCATCATCAAAATCTCTGTGTAAAGACCAAAATGTTTTTTTTTTTTTTAATCCTTTTAAGAATCTTCAAAATTTTCATTAAAAATCTTGTTTTTCTGGCATTAACATGAGACCATAAATTTGTATAGGAAATTTGAGTCTTTTTGTGGTGAAAAGCACAGTGAGTTGGAAATTCTTGCAAAAATCAAATAATTGTAGGATTTTAATAAAACTTTCAGGACATACAAACGAATGAAATTATTTTTGAAAGACTTTTTTTTTTTAACATTTGTTACCTCTACATATTTTATTAAATTTTGAGGAATTCTTTTTTGTAGTGCTTAATGTTGATTTTAGTTTTAAGGATAAGTCCTAGGAGAATATAAATCATAATTTTGGAGGGTCAAACAGGACCCCCAGTTAGAGAAAATCTGCTCTGAATCATAAAATAAAAAAAGCACAATAAAATTATTTAATTAGAAAAGCTTTTAATTTCTTTTATAAATGAAATATAATATGGACACTATTGTCTTAAGAAAAAAAAATTTAATTAGAATAATTTATATTGTTAAATCTTTTAAAATTCTGTATTAATTTGTTGTGGTCAAGTGATATCATTATTAAATAAAAACAATATTTACTAGTTATAAATGGAAAAGCTTTCAATTCAGTAACCCCTATTATTTTTTGTGTGTATAAACATACAGTTTTTTGTAAAAATGTATGTCAGATATTATCAGAAAATAAGAGCAGTAACTCTAGAAAATTTAAAATTTATTAGTAATTTTCTAATATTTCTTCAACAAGAGTCTTCCTAAGTAATACTGTAGTGCCAGAGTATCTAAAATTCAATAAAATGTTAAAATGATTAAAATATTTTCTTAAAAATTTAAGATTACTGGGTAGTTAAAAAATTATATAAAAATGGCATTTACATTGTATTCATCATGTATTTTACTACAATTATTTCCCAATTACATAAATCTTGCAAACATCAGGTTATCAATAGATGCATTAACACCTCATGAAAACACCCACTTCCAGGTTAAAAAAATGCTTTTCTGCAATATTTTAATAATATTTGTTTTAATTCAGATTAATTAAGCTTTAAATCAGTTAATATTTCTCAAATAAAGTTTCAGAAAAGTATATTTTATTTTTGAAAGATTTTTTAATATAGAGAATTGGTTACAATCTGCTTAGGAATTACTGAAAAAAAAACATCCCCCCTCCCCAAGTTTATAAACAAAACATAGATGCATGCTGAGATAGGCCACTTCTCAGTTTCATCTGACTTAGTTCTGTTCTTTCTTGTCTTGAAGCCAGAATGCTGTGATCGCTTGCATGTATCCCCTTTTGCATGCTAACACCATTCTTAGTTTGTTTTTTTTTTTGCTTTATTATTGTTGCTTTGTCTTGCACATATCGTTTGCTCAATAATATTTTTGCCATGTTTTTTTTTTTCTCTTGTGCTTGATTATTGCAAATTTTGGCAATTCTGTTTGTTGGCCATTTCTGCCAATTGCATTTAACCATTGTCAATTACTCTACAATGTTGTGTTGACAGATTTGTCAATATGGACAACTTTTTTAGATTTTTTTTTTTTTTTTAAAATTATGACACCATGACGGGTGTCAAAGGTTGACTGGTGATGTAGTTTTTATTTTTGAAGAAAGAAAAATACTTTTTCATGTCAAAACAATGTAATACCATGAATTTTCTAGTTTGTGTCACTCATGGAGTATAGTGTGGGGGGGATTGTAAGCTTGTGTGGGATAGGTCATTAGGTACAGAATTAGGTCATATGTGTGTTGAACTTGACTTTTGTTTTCATTTAATAAAGGAATTATTCTGTTGAAATGAGTGATACAAAATAAATCTTTACAGATTAGGTCTGTGTTGATCAGATAGAGGTGACGATGACACCTGTCAAATGAAGGTGAGGTAACGGAACACGGAAAATGTTCCACTGAAGGTGGATATGAGTGATACAAGGCCACCATTTTGATTGGCCCACCAATGAGAGAAGGGCAGGGGAGGGAACTTTTCATCCCACCTCCAATGCTTACGACACAAGGCCATTATTTTGATCAAACCACCAATAGAGAGAAGGGCAGGGGAGGGAGCTTCTCATCCTGCCTCCAATGCTTACGACACAAGGCCATTATTTTGATTGGCCCACCAATGAAAGAAGGGCATATATATATATCTCATCCCACCTCAATGTTTTTACGACACAAGGCCATTATTTTGATTGGCCCACCAATGAAAGAAGGGCAGGGGAGGGAGCTTCTCATCCCACCTCCAATGCTTACGACACAAGGCTATTATTTTGATTGAACCACCAATCATATTGGGTTCTTGAGGGATTTCCTTCCTCCCGTTCAATGCCTATGACACAAGACCATTGGTCAAGCATTATTATTGGCTAGCCAATCAGAGAAGTGCAATTGGGGTTTATACCCCCATAAAAGCAGTTGCCAAAAGATCAGAAGAATGATAGAACTAGTCTTGCCGCTAGTAGACCAACACTCTACCTGCCGGATGACCGTGGTGCCTCAATCAGCTAAAGACCTGTTCTCTACACCACTTTTTGAACTCCTTCGATCAGCTGCCTTTATTTAAATAGTTGAACGACTGTGTTGTTTAACTATAACTGCAACTACCATTCAACCCCTCAGCTCAAGAATTCCTTCTTCAAATCCCTTTTGTTTATGTATTCATGATCTTGATCAATCATAGTACCATAAATAAATAAAAGTTGTTCTTTTTATACTTATTAATGAGTGTTGTTGAAGTTAATTAAGTTTACTGATGACTTTAGCCTTTCACAAGCATAGCCAGAACAGAAAGGAGTCAAATGTGATCTTTGACAGTTCTTCATTGATATTCCTGTGGATACTGAAACACAACATGAAGATGCAGGATTGGTGCAGAGAGGATTTGCCAAAGATGGACCAAAGTATTTTTATTTGGCATTCAGTGAAACACAAAGCAACAGGACCACAAAATCATATGCATCAATTTAAATTCAGTTTGAAATACAACAAACTATTTTGCTTATTGTAAATTTAATCTATTAGCTTGGAATTAAGGCTAAAATAAAAGCTTCAAGAAAGATTTCTAATTTTTAAAATGCATTTTACCATAGGTATCTTTTTGAGTGGGTGTGGAGGTACCTCTATATTCACACACACACATTTTATATATATATATATATATATATATATATATATATACAGTATATATATTTAGGCAGCAATCCTTCTTTCATGCAAAATTTCATTAATGCAAAAATTAATTATGAAGTTTTTATGTAATTTCTCATGTGATCTTATAATTTTTCTTTTCAGTAGATAAATTATATAAAAACTGTCCAAATGTTGCTTTTTTTTTCCGAGCACTTTTGGCTATAAACTTAGCCATTTTCAAGGTTGAAATATATTAACTGTTAACTAGAAATAGATTATTGTATGTTTCATTTTCAAAACAGGGTCAACATATTGTGTCCATGTTCATAGTTGATACTTAGTGTTGGGTTCTTTGTTTTTAATAAGACCAGATGTCAGAAAGCCAATGCTGTCAATTACCAATTTGCTCCTCTTCTAAAACATCCTAGCATTTCTATGAGCACCAAGGCAAATCTCATCAATGCCATTTTCCAACCAACGCTGACATACCAGTGCTAGACATGGCCCCTAACAAAACCCTTGAGAGGAAACTGATCACTTGTGAGGTGAAAT